TACATGGTATCTCTGTTTTTGGAAAGAGACTATCCAGGAAAAGTGATAATGTGGTAGTTTTTCCATTTGCTTTCCACATCGCAGTACACCAGCCGTTCAAACCACTCTGGTCACGCCTGCTGCTATACGAACTTGAACCATCTCGAGCATCATTTGCTCTGTGCTTCAAGTCGCTACTGATGACGCTGCTTCTGGCATCAGTTTTTGGTGTCTCTCTTCGTCTGATGCCTACCCTTTGACCTGTCCAACAAGGGAGGCCCTGCCAGTAGCTACGCTACCGCTGGTATAGCTCTCAGGGTCCTTGGCATACTCAACCCCCCTCACCACGATAAGGTGGAGACACCAACGAGGGGGGATGGTTATATGCCGGAAGAAAAATTTCTGTCTTGACAAGGAATGCGTTTTTTATATAATTTCATTTATGTCTATTGAGTCCTCATTACCTCCAAGAATTTCATTTTTATCCCACTTGGGGTAATTTACCTCGGTTCACTGACCACTGGTCTACAGGATCTATGTATACCAGCTGTTATCCAGCCATTATCCTTGAGTTTGTTACATTTTGCTTTGGAAAGCATGACTCAAAGACAAGTAAATGCTTATTTAAAAATGAGCTGAATATTTCGTTTACATAAGTTAGTTTATATATATTTTCCCATTTTTTGTTAGATAGTTTATTAAGAAATTGAGCAATTGAGTCTTCATTTACTAATCTTCTTGTTTTAAATATTGTATTTTAATTTGCTCAGATGATCTGTTTAAAAGGGAAATCGTTGATGGAAAGGCAAAAATTTGTGTTTGTATGGGGCATTATTTTATATTGTGACATATTTTACATCATTGGGTTAGTCCTTCAAAGGATCTATGGAATATAAATAAATTATAATTCAAATTCTGTAATGTGGTATTTGCTTATTTGTGGCTTATTTAACAATGCTGTTAGCCGAGGCCATGATGCCCTGAATAGTAGGATGAATAGTGAATAATCAATTGGAAGACTGGATGGAGGAGTTACTCTTCCAGCATTTGCTTGGAGGGACTGGGAAATACCAGAAAGGACCTCATTCAGGAGAGCCAGTCCCCATATCAAGATTTGAACCTGTAATTTCCCATACATGGAGCAGGAGTGCTACACACACAGCTGCAATGTGCATGTGATGTTTCAGTTCTCAGCAAAGGGGAGCTAAGAAGTGGTTTCCAGATTATGAATTTTCGAAGCAGTTTGAAGGTCCAGTAATGTATCCAGATGAGAGGTCTTCCCTGTGGAAGATGCCATCATGGAACCACAAGCTTGCTCCAGTTGAGAAGAAAGTTCGCAATTTGACCCTTAACTTTGGCCCTCAGCATCCAGCTGCACATGGTGTCTTGCGACTTGTCCTGGAACTCGATGGAGAGGTAGAAACACCTGTATATTTCAGGATTATGTATATTTTCTTTGTTGAAGGGTCTCATAAATGTTATTCCTCATAGATGTATTATAACATTATGTGTGCCTTTCCTCATTTAATCAGGGAATCCATATGATGGACACTGATTGACCAGAATTAGTATGAACTCTATGCCTCTGGCCAACCCAGCTTGGTAAATTTAAATCCCTGATCTGAACGTTAATGGCCTTGTGACCTTGTTTCACTGATATTTTGGATGCTGTCTATTGCCTGAGTGTATTGAAACCTCTACATCCTGGAAAGTCTGTTTTCAAGTGAAGAGGACAGGAGAGAAATTCTACTCTTGCACCTATCCAGTGGAACTACTCACAAACTCCTATTTTTTTTCATTTCATTTATTCACCTTCCATAAATCCTGTCGAGAATACATTCTCATGGGGATGTGGAGTTCATCCTAGTTACAGTTACAACTAAGAATTACAGTTGTCATTCGGTAGCATACACATTTGTAATAAAATACTGACAAACATATACAATATAATAAATAAGATAATTTTAGTAGTAAAAGCAATGGCAAACCTTATACAATTTGTACAGTTTTATACAAGTCTATTAATTAAAAATTCAGTAGTTAAAACACAATGTCATTAATGAGTTTTGTATAACATACATTAATAGTGTGCTGTCTATGCTCTGCTACCACTTGTACCGTCTTACGGTCTGCTACCACAGCACCGTCACTCTCTGGCACCTTTTGGTTCCGTCTACCCTTCCTCAATCGGAGGGGAAAACGGTGCTTCGTCATATGGCTCTCGTGCTGTGCTCGTACACTCCTTAAGTTTGAGTAAGGGATCCAAGCTAGCAGCGAGGTAAATCTAGTTACAAATGATGGCAATCAATATAATAAATAACAGAATTTAATAAACACAACTAACACATAACCAAAGACAAGAATTCATCGTCGTTACAGCGCACGAGCCCAAGAAATTAAACAGAACAACTCAACTAATTGCACATCTACATGCTCGCACACAGCGGCATCTAACTCGGGCAGAATGGCCCATATTTACTGGCGCAACAATTTGCCTTGGTTGCATGAAAACATAACTACTACTTTATAGCTGGGCAACAGGCTGAGTCTAAACCAAATACACAATATAAATTATAAAAACAGGTTTAAGTAAACTGGTACGAGTCGCTGCCGTACTACAAACCCAACGACGGGCGACTGCGGGCGATCTCGTCGGCCGCGAACCAGCCCACTACTTGCTGAAACCAATTTTGGACTCCCAGCCGAAAAGGAATTTGACAGTCGCTCCAGCTGGCTCGGCGCCGCAAGCAAGGCCCTATAGATCCATAACCAGAACTGTCCTCCGAACTTGAATTAACTTCCAAGCAAGGCTCCCAGGGGTAGAAAGGAGGGGAGAGGGCAACACCACGTGACCCAGTCTCGCATGGGGAGGGGGTGGGGGATAAGTTTAGGGACCTCGCTCAAGGGGCTGGAAGCCCATGATGTCATACCGGAACCAATACATGGCTCAATAGTATGATAAATTGAAATAAAGACTAGTATACAGTGATATAAAGATTGTGTATATCTAAAATAAGCAACTAAAAACCAGAACACAGACTGACAATCTTGTCTTCTTTTAATTGTAAAGCAAGACAGCTACTCGCATCTTAAAAAGATTTATAACCAAAATATTCCTGTAAAGAATAAAAAGAATGTAATTGTAAAAATTGTTTCATTTGTACCTCAAAACTCTTAGTGTCACTTGATATATCCTTAATATGTTGTGGTAGATTATTATAGACCTTTGTTCCTAAACAGTGAACTCCCTTTTGGTATTTACTCAAATTTACAAGAGGCTGATGGAGATTATTTTGCTCTCTGGTATATATTCTATGATTCTCTGAATTTAGTATGAATTTGTTTCAGTTTTTTATCACAAAGACCATAAGAGATAGTATGTACTGAGATGCCAGAGGTAAGATTTCTAATTTTCTAAATAAGTTTCTGCACGAATCCCTCCTTCTGCATCCCAACATAATTCTAATTATATTCTTTTGCATTCTAAAATTTTTTATACTTTGGGGTGAGTTACCCCAAAATGGTAAACCATAATTAATAATAGAATTAAAATAAGAGTAATAAACCATTTTTAAGGTATTTATGGACGTGTATGTTTTAAGCGATCTTATTCTGTAGCAGACTGCAGTTAGTTTTGAACTAATATATTCAGTGTGGTATTTCCTGCCCATTTTATCATCAATGAATATTCCTAGAAATTTAATATTGGATATAGATGTAATTTGTTTTTTATCATATACAATTTTTATTTCAGGTTTATGATTATTGTTTCTTGCTGTAAATTGAATGTAATGGGTTCTGTTAAAATTGATAGAAAGTTGGTTTATTTGAACCATTCAGTTATACTGTGAAAAGCATTGTTTATATTTACACAGATCATCATAGTTTGAACTTTTAACTAACGAACTAGTATTGTCTGCAAATAATGCAGATATAGCTTTATCATTTATAGTTTTGGGTAAATCGTTTATATATGAGAAATAACAGTGGACCCAGAATCGAACCTTGCGGGACACCATGTCTAATTTTGCCCCATGTCAAAAATTCATTGAGATTAAGATTTATAGTTGTAATTAAAACCCTTTGATATCTATTTCTGAAATACGATTCAAGCCATAGCTTAGCTTTACCTTTTATCCCATAGAACTCCGATTTTGACAACAGAACCTCACGATTAACACAATTGAAGGCCCTTTTGAGGTCACAAAAAATGCCTCCTATTAAGTTTCTGCTGTTTAAGGTCTTACAGATTTCATTAACTAACTTGTATATAGCCTCATCTGTTGAAGATTTTGTTCTAAAACCAAATTGTTCTTCCACTAAAATGTTATTGTTATTTAAGTGCTCAGTCAATTGAATGCTCATAACTTTTTCTAATACCTGAGAGAATGAAGTTGAAAGTGATATAGGCCTATAGTTGGAAATGTTTGATTTATGACCTTTCTTAAATAGCAGTCTTTAAACTGAGGACAGAAGAAAAACTTGTTTCAGAAATAAAATGGTTCAGATAAACCTGAATGATGGCCCAAAACATTTGCAAGCTCTATGTGACACCATCATAATTAAAGCTTTAAACTTAATTTGTTTTACTTTATTTCAGACTGTGATGAGGTCTGATCCTCATATTGGCCTTCTGCACCGAGGCACAGAGAAGCTGATTGAGTACAAGACATACACACAGGCATTACCATATTTTGATCGTCTGGACTATGTATCAATGATGTGCAATGAACAGTGCTACTCATTGGCTGTAGAGAAACTTCTCAACATTGATATTCCAAAGAGGGCCAAGTACATTAGAAGTGAGAGTTGCTCTTTCACTTCAGTGCTGCCAAGAGTAACCATTTTATTGATACTGTAAAGTAACTCATAAATTGTGTAGGATGATACAGTCAGTCTTCTTACTAAGTTGAACAGTGTCAGTGCTTCACTGGTCTTTGGGTTTGCTCTACAGAATTATTTCATACCTCCTACAGGAAAGATATTTAAGTGCCTACCTCAAATCATTAGGTCAGTCAGAGGAGGAGAGACAGGCTCCTCATTGCCAGCTCATTCCACATATATTTGCAGCTGCATTGCAGTCTTCTAAAGCCCATAGGTCAACATATTGAAGAAAACCCACCAAGATCACAGCAGATACCAGAAATGGGCCATTTTGTTGTGCATTCTTGGCATTGCCACAAAGTGTTCACATTTACTTGAAGATCTTTTCAAAAAGAGTTTCAAAATCTGAAATTTCAAACACTGGTTTCCTGTGCAGGGTGTTTAAGGGATTTTAGAAGGGACCACATGAAGCGTAACACTGATTTCATTCAAATTCTTTGCAGTGAGCAGTCAGCAATTTTGAGAGGTAGTGTAGTGCCTATGTTATTTTCTCAAACCCTGGTGCCATGCAGTAATGTATGGGATTAGAAGTTGGGCTTCAAGATTATGTATTTCTGCCATCATAAAATATTACACATACTTGTTAAATAAGCATTTCATGAATTGTGTGAATTATCATTATCCTAAGGTTGTGCTATAGTAAGAAGCAACCTTTGAACAAGAACCCAATAGAGTTTGCTCATGTACATGTTTAGTAAAACAGTGAAGGCTGTTGTGTCTCAGAAAACCAAACAGATTGGCAGCAGATTCCAAGGGGAAGTGTGACTTAACTGTGTAAAAATGATTTTCTTAGTCAGATATAGAAACGATATGTAATACTTTTTTTTTAACATTGCATCATATAGGTTCAGTATGGTAAGGTACATGGTACCATTAAAGGAAAGAATATTAGCTTTTTCCACACCCATGGTGTATACATTGTGAAAAATGAATAATCTTTATATCATTTAATTTGAAAGTCAGGTCTTTCTAAGTTAGTTTGGATGCAAGTATATGATACATAGTACTTACAAGAACTAAATCTGACTTTGATGCCAGCTGTTCTGAGATTTTTAATGAATTTTGTTGGTCCCACCACACAGATGCTGGGTTCTTACCTCAAATCATGTAAGGACCCTTTCCTCCCATATCCCTACCAATTTACTGGTCATTAATGAACTTATTATTTGAATGCCGGCATTGTAAATAAATAAACCACAAATCAGTATACGAGCATTAAAATCTCTGTTATGGAATGTGAAAAGTTGAGATCCATAAAGTGTATAGGTGAAAATGGTAGTTACTTGCAAATTTAAAGTAAGTCTCTGTTTACAAAATGTGAATGCAAATGATGATAATGTATAACCATGACACTGTTACAGCACTGTTTGCTGAGATAACTCGAATTTTGAACCACATTATGGCTATTGGCACTCATGCGTTGGATATTGGTGCACTGACACCGTTCTTTTGGCTGTTTGAGGAGCGTGAGAAGATGATGGAGTTTTATGAGCGAGTATCTGGAGCCAGAATGCATGCTGCATATATTCGTCCAGGCGGTGTAAGCCAGGTATGTCTTGTCTGCTGCAGAAGTGAGTGGGACATTTGGGTATGTGTTGAGGCTACAACATTTTTGTTATACAATTTGTGCTCTTAAAGGAATATCATGATGTACATATTCAGAAGTGATAAGATACTTCCAGTGTAGGGAATCTGATAAGTGTCTTCCTGTTCTTTGATACGTTTTATTAGAGTGCATAGAGATATCCGTGCTTGGTTAACCAATCAGATGGACTACCAGAGACATGTGGGCTGATTCCTTTTACTTCCTGTAGACATTGTTAGTTTTAGTCTATAAAACTGTAGCTTCTTTTTCAACAGATTTGGTCACCCCCTTGGTATGCATGTTGGGCTGATTTTGATTTTTCCAGCAGACCATTCTTCAGATTGTATCTGTGTTCTGGTTTATCTGTTTTACCACTAACATCTGCCAGTGTCATAAGAAAACTGAACATGCAATACCAGATCATGTTTTATGTATTAATTTCCATGTTAAAGTCTTTCTATCCTTACATATGACCTTGGCTCTGTTGACCAAGCTGTAAACATCTCTTTACACATTCTGAGGGTGAAGAGGTTCGAAATGTACATGAACATATTATGTGTGTAAGTTTCCTGTACATATTCATGGACTAAGTAGAACCCCTCTTCATGACCAAGATGTCCAAGAAATGAAGAATATTATTAATTTCCATTTTCATAGTGAATTGTATGGTTGATCTGAAACTGGTGTCCAGAGGTAGGGACTGGCTGTATCAGTCAGGTCCAGTAGAGTATGTTCTTTCATGTGAGGAAGAAGAGAGTATTTAGTCTGTGATATGTTATCTGAAGTAAAAATTAGTATGATGGATCATTGTGTTGTTATATTGTCACAAACTAATATGTCTTATTAATGTAACTGGTATATCTGAATTTAGGAAACATTAACATGCTTCCCATTTCTCTTTCAGCTGTGTATAACCCCTGCTGTTAACACAGTATCGTTAAATGACCTAGTGAACACACAACAAAGATCATTCTGTTAAGTTGGTTATTTGAGGATTAGCTGTAATTATGTGTAAATGTTGTATAACGGTATGTAAGTGAATTTTTATCCCAGAAGGATACATATAAGATTTTTACTAAATTCAGTCACCACTGGTAGTGGTTAGTAGTTAGTCTTATGTTCTGGTGCAGGATTTGCCACTTGGACTGCTGGATGACATATATGAGTTCAGCAGCAAGTTTGGAGAGCGTTTGGATGAAGTGGAGGATCTTCTGACAGCAAACAGAATTTGGATCCAGCGTACTGCTGATATTGGTGTTGTGTCTGCTGTGGATGCTCTCAATTATGGCTTCAGGTCAGCATGCCATTGCTCATGTTGTCAGTGCAAAGTGTGATGTACTGAAGGAACAGTATTTTGGAATAATTCCAATAGAAACTTTGTTAGATTGTACATATTGTAGTAATAAACTTGGCTGAGAATTGCTAACACTTTCCAAAATTACATTTTGGTTAATGATTTCTTAAAGTATTAGCATCTTACTAGTGTGCCCATGCAGAGAAATGTGCTCTGCAGTTTCATAAATTGTTTTTTGTTACAAAGACAAAACCACTGTGTCCAGTGTGACTATTGAAGTTTTTACTACTTGAAAACTTAGCACTCTTACATGTTTTGGTCCCTATAGACCATCATCATAGGGACATCGATATTTTTTTTGAAACTACTATCACAATGGGTGTTTTGAGTGTTAAAATACATATACATACATTGTTTGTAATGCACACTATATACAAAATCCAACTTTTCCACAACTACAGCTTTCTTGGTATATTAAAATTTTTAAAGTTTTTAAAACTTTGTTATATAAGTTAAAATTTATAAACCAAATAGATTTGTGTCCCTTCTCCTATTGTCTTTCCTGACGGGTGCTAAACTTGTGCCGCCCGTCTCTCTTGAGAAGGTGATTCTTGCTGTCGTCCTGTGTTTGTTCATGGCATCCTGTGTTGTCTTGTTATTCAAGATAGTTACTGTCACATAACTATAGGTTCTAGGACTCACACATGTCAATTTTGTGTCCTTCATGTGATCTGTACTCGTACAGCAAAGTTATGTTCATTTCATCTGCTTTCGTTGTGTTCTCTAATGTTAGATTATATTAACAGTTACTCTGTCTAGTCTCAAAATATTGATGTTTACATTCCCCTTAAGTTGTACTTCATCACCCAGCATTTTTTTTTTTTATTGTTTCGCTGCACTGGGAACTTAATATGTAGGAGACTGGGGCCAGTAAGAACCAAGTGTTTTCATGTGTTGAATACTGTGGTCTTTTTTGCAGAGCTTAGTGTGCTGCACAGAATAGAGCTGTAATTCTTTGTGGATGTGGCGAATAATATGGGCTAGATCAGAGGTTCTCATATTGTGGGTTGCAACCCAGCAAAATAATTTGCGAATATTGTCATGACCGTACATAAATATTCTGTGGAAAAGCACTCGTGTAAAACAGTGTGAGTATATAGTGCAGTGTCACGTGGCAGACTGATGCAGTAGGCTTGAGGAAATGTGACTTTGACCTCCCCTCTCATTTTCTTTCACTGAGGCAGTTGCAATAACAGTCCGGGCACTTTCCTTTAGGACCTCTTACCTGCAGCCGGAAAAACATTTTACAAATATTGTCATGTCTATACATAAATATTCTGTATTTTATTGTAGATGTAGAGAGGCTCTAAAGCTATTTAGGGTCCTGCTGCTTCCCTACAGACTAATAGGGATCTGTAGCAATGTACACAACTGCACCTTTCACTAATCAGCAGTGGTGGGGTGGGGTCATGTATGTTTATATATTAGAAGGTCACAGTGTCACAAAGTTTGAGAAACTCTGGTCTGCATTATACAACATTTCAGCCTAGTTTCTTCAGATTATCAAAAATAAAGCATCAGTAAGCATGGTTTGAAGTTCTCACAGCAGTGGTGTGTAGTCTCTGGGTACACATAGTCAATCACTGTTTTGGAGGAAGATGTCATCTCTTTCTTCAGGGTTGGAGAATAAGCCAAGGGAACTGTGGCCCCTTTGCGTTGATGTTCCTGAGCTTAGTAGGTCAGCTTCTTACCTAGCTTCTTCTCTGATCATGAAGATGGAGGGGACATGTTCTTCAAAAATGTTGGTTGACTTTCAGTGGACTACGTGGCATTATATCCTGGAAGCTAGAACACTTCATGAAGCAGTAGATCTGTTTGCATCATGACCAAAGTAAAGGTAGAGAATTTGTATGTATATTCATACCCCATTTGGTCCATTTTTGTAAATTTGGACTATGGTTACATACTGCTGTCTTGTTGCAGTGGAGTCATGTTACGTGGTTCTGGCATCAAGTGGGATTTACGTAAAGCACAGCCTTATGATGCCTATGATGAAGTTGAGTTTGATGTTCCTATTGGTACGAAAGGAGACTGTTACGACAGGTATGGTTGGGGAATTGGACCTTAATTTTTTTTTTTCATATAAATTAGTTCTAAAATACTACTCTTGTGGGATATAATGGGATTTGTTTGCTCTGTAAGTATGAACATTGAGTATAGTATAAATAATCTTGCTGGTTTGTGCTTACATTATTTTACAGTTTATAAGATGACAACAAACAGAACAATGCTCCCCTCAATACCATTCCTAGTTGAAGGTTGTAAGGAAGAACAGCAACAGCAGTGCCTATGCATATAATATGCTTAGATATATTTGTCCTGCACAAGCCTAACAACTCTTCTGGTCAACCTCTTCATATGGACTTGTTTAGGTCAACAAAATGTTATTTATGCATACACCTGAAGGGTGCAATATTTCTTTGATGCCCCTAGAGTCCTGTATCCTACTTTTTCATTTTTTTTCCTTGTGCTGTTATGCAATATACATGTTGCTTCTGATGCTCTCACCTAAGCTTTTTTCTGTTGAGATACACAAGGGCCCTGGACTAATTCTCATTTCCTAAATGTTAACACAGTGTATATTATTTGTTGGTTTTGACTCTGCAGTGTTTTCCTTTTCACTTGGAGATAACTGGAGGCATCTTCCTGAAATTAAACTCCGTGATTTTAGTTCGCAAGCGAACTATACCGACCGAGTGACCGCCGCTTGTCGGGGCAGTTTAGTGCCAACTTTTTGCTGATAAAGGGTGTCGCGTGGTCAGCACAACGAATCCCCACGGCCGTTAATTTCGGTTTTCTAGACCAATCTTGATCAAATTACTGACACATTACTGATCAGATATGTTTACTTACTATGGAGCAACAAGTCACTGCAACTTAAACCTTAAAAATATTTTTGTGATAGGTCATTTATTACATTACATTGTCTTGCATTCCATGGATCCAAAGTTAGTCAGAATTACTGTAGGATGTGGAATATGTCATATTCACAATGCTTACCACATAGTGAACTGAAATTTTTTTCTCCCCCCCCTACAGTAGTAGGACAGACCATGGTACGCATGCAGTCCTACTCTGTTCTCACTCATATAAAGTTTTGTAACAGTTCTCATGTTTCTAGTTGTAGTGAGTGAAGTGTAGATTGTTTCATTGTGTTTTGTGTCATTTGCCTTATTTACATGTGCAATATTGAAATGGGGGAGCCAGGTTAGCATATTTGGTATAGTGACTGGTTATGGGCTGGACAACTGAGGGGTCAGCATTTGAGACCCTATAGGATCAAGACTTTTTTCTTCAGGTTGTCCAGACTGGCTCTGCGGTCCACCCACCCTTCTATCCAATGGGTACTGGGGGCTCTTTCCCCAGGGGTAAAGTGGCCGGAGTGTGAAGCTGACCACTCACCTTCAACTAGTGCTGAGGTCAAGAAAATGTGGATTGATACATCCACTCCCCCATATGCCTTCATAGCTTAGTGCATAATTGGTTAAGCACATGGGCAAGTTTACCTCTTTTTACTATTGAAATAGGCCAGAACTTTTTTGTTCCTAAATTTCTGAAGACTGTTAGGATTGCAATTTCCAACTGTGGTTCGGTTTCAGTACCTCACTGAACTGCACAGTAAGCCTGTCTTCTGTACTGAATAAGGAAAGTAAGTTAAAAATATGAGGGATGCCCATGAATATTGTTTCAGGTACCTGTGTCGTGTAGAGGAGATGCGACAGTCTTTGAGAATTATTGAACAGTGTTTGAACAAAATGCCACCAGGAGAGATCAAAACTGATGACATGAAGATAACACCTCCTTCACGTTCTGAGATGAAGGTATGACTGAGGATTGATATTAATTGTGTTGGGAGTGTGGTTTCTCAGGCTATATGTTCAGATGTCGCTTGAGGCTTAAATGTTTGCTGTTGCTATTGTGCATTTTGTGTGCAGCTGGCATTATAACAGTTAATGTCTAAGATAGACCCGAGGTAGATGGGTAATACAGGTTTTAGGTTTACACTGTTGAAGAAATGTGGATGATGTTCACAAAATAAGTAAAGGAGCGCTGAATAGAATGTTTGGGGTTTATTTGCAAGTTGCTATGTACACTGCTGTAGCTCACAGTAGTAGTGAAATCAGAGGCAGTCACTTGTTAATTTAAAATTTACATTATCATCTCAATTACTGAAATATTTATAATATCTCTATATGAAAGGGGTGTACATTTTCATGACCTCCAAGGACTTTCCCCTAACTGAGTGATCGTCACCAATTACAATTCTTGGATGAGGGAAATAACAGTTGGTCTTTTCAAAGACTGAACTCATGCTTATACCACATTAAACGGCAAAATAATGGTCTACAAACCTGATTACTAATAGTAAATCTAAATATGATTATTTACAATATCAAAATTGTATGTGATATTAAAACCAAATATACATAACCCACATTAAACATTTGTAAATAAGTATAATGCATGAGGACATATCAAAGACTTTAAGTTGTCTGAAATTGTCAATTATAGTACAACAAAAATAATGTCGTAATTAACTTACAAGAGGCTGTATGTGAAAAGAAGAGTAGTAATACACAGAGATATTGGGAATTGTTTCATTTTGGTCCGTTACACTATCAATCACCAATTATCAATAGAACCTCCGTCGAGTGTAACAATATATATTCTTGTCACCATTTTCTCACATTTGCCTTACATGTTTCGGCTCACAAAGAGCCATCATCAGAGGCATCCACAACAAAAACATGGAAACACTTGCACTGCTCAACAATCACAATATACAGTTTTTTGTGGAAGATGTTACACGTATCGGAGCGTAAAACACAACAACATCCAGTACCCCGAGTGCGGGTATCCCACTTGCATTTAAAAATTCACCCACAAAGCGGGTCGTTAATGTTAAAATTAAAGTTAAAACCGTCCAAGTAAAATATTCAGGTTCCTCTTAGTGGATAGTCCCAATGGGGGAGGCGTCAGCACGAGGTTGCGTGGGCTGCAAAGATATTGTATTACGTTAGGTTTTATCTATTATAATATATTTAACGTTGAATATTAAATAATATTTGATGCTGGCCTTACCTTGTGGTCGGCTGTGTCCGACGCGTAGTGTATTGTGTAGTGCAGTGGAGAGGCCACGTCGATGTTATTTAAAGCTATGTGTATCGTGACGTGGTGGGGGGTGTGTGTNTTAACTTTAATTTTAACATTAACGACCCACTTTGTGGGTGATTTTTTAAATTTTTAAATGCAAATGGGATACCCGCACTCGGGGTACTGGATGTTGTTGTGTTTTACGCTCCGATACGTGTAACATCTTCCACAAAAAACTGTATATTATGATTGTTGAGCAGTGCAAGTGTTTCCATGTTTTTGTTGTGGATGCCTCTGATGATGGCTCTTTGTGAGCCGAAACATGTAAGGCAAATGTGAGAAAATGGTGACAAGAATATATATTGTTACACTCGACGGAGGTTCTATTGATAATTGGAGAGATATTGGGTTTTTGGACTTTATCCACTGTCCTGGTTTTAAGATAACTAAGAAAAACACGACGTTTCGGAAACAGGATCTGTTTCTGTCCTCAGGTGAGGGTCCAGTGATTGAGGCTAGCTCTTTCTAAGGGACCCAACAGAATAGGTGTTTTCCCTCACCTGAGGGCGGAAATGGATCCAGTTTCCGAAACATGTTTTTCTTAGTTATCTTAAAAGATTAATCTTCGGCTTGAGCGTTCGCTTGTGGAGGTTGGCGCAGCCCACATTGATGCGACTGATGTCTCTTCAATATTGAGGAGCGAACATACTGTCCATGGTTTGCATCTTAATCCTCGAGGCAAGGACAAGCTGACGCGACTCATTGCAGAGAGCATTAAAGGCAGACACATTCCAGTTGTCATGGGTGTTCAGAATCATTTTTTAGGATAAAGAGTGCAAGTAAAGTTTATCAAGTAAAAGAAATTGCAAAAGAAACTAATCTTTCAGACAATAATGTTAGTTAACTAATAGAAATCGGAAAAGGTAATTGCAGTCTACTAAATTCAATGAATA